ATTTAAGATCATTATCTCAATAGAGAAGAAATTACCTCACTCTGACACTATCCGGGCATTTTATTTTAAATAAAGGAGGGTATCAGCAACTGATTTACTGTCTTGAAACCACACAGTGTCACTTAATTGTGAATACATATTCAAAACTATTTAAATATAAAAGCATATTACTCAGTACTTGGCTCCCAATGGCTGCAAGCAAGAGATGAATGTTACAACAACTAGACAAATGTATGCATCTCCCTTTACATCATAGTTACTCCACATGTAAGACTGAAGGGAAGTGTTAGCTTTCCCACGTTCAGCTGTAGAGTGATGATGCTCTGTGCACTTAGAACCTACATTTGCCTTTGGTTTGGATACTCTTCTAATTACCATCAACCAAAAACCTGCCAAAGCTTTCTAGATGGGAGAGAAACAAAGATCTTAAGAGCCAGCCATCACCAGGGAACAGCAACTCGCCAGTCATTAAAATGAGAGAGTACCATGGAAATGTCACTCTAGCTTTCCATTAACTGTTTCTACAGTTACTCTCTTTCTCGCTTTCTTGACAAATAGCTCCATCATGCCACAGTATGAATCATAACTGAATGTGGGTAACAAATTGGATTGCAATTTAAAAACACGACAGTAAATTCTGTGGTAATGTTCCTGCTCCCCAGAGACCATCATTTAAAACACACCCAAAACCAAAGCACTTAGTGCAGCAATCTAGCCCATCATTCACAGTGTGAGGCAAAAATGCCGACCCAGAAAGTATTTGAAAAATTAGCACTTACTTAGCTTATTATAATGTTATTCCAGTTTAATACACAGGTGCAGTATTTCACAGGATGGATACACACACACACACACACACACACACACACACACACACACACACACACACACCCCACACGAGGAAATAGGGGAAGATAAAATGGACACAGTAAGATTTAAAAAAATGAAATTACTCAATAAGGCAGAACAAAAGAAAAAGGGAGAAGACATAGAGTTAGATGGTTTATAGGAAAATATAACCAGAAGAGGGGAGCTTTCAAGCTTCCTAGCATGTTCTGTGTCTTGCTATTTATCCTATCCTAGGTTCGTCACTAAAATACTCAACCTTACGTAATTTATCTGTAACATTAAGATAGTAATTCCAGTCTACTGACTGACTATAAGGCTTACTAAGATCTTATAAATAAAATTTACTTTTTTTTTCATGGTAAAAACAGCAGCCTGCATAATGGGGAAAGATCTTCACCAGCCCCACATCTGACAGAGGGCTAATATCCAAAATATATAAGGAACTTGAGAAACTAGATGCCAAACAATACAAATAACCCAATTAAAAAACTGGGATACAGATGTAAAGAGAGAATTTTCAACAGAGGAATCACAAACAGCTGAGAATCACTTTTAAAAATGATGAATATCCTTAGCTTTTAGGGAAATGCAAAAACAAAATGACACGGAGATTCCATCATACACCTGTCAGAATGGCTAAGGTCAAAAACACAAGTGACAGCTCATGCTGGAGAGGATGAGGATCAAGAGGAACACCCCTCTGCTGTGGGATAATCTTTTTCTACATTGGGAAGATGTGTCTCTGCAAAGACACCATCTAATTGATTTAATAAAGAGCTGAATAGCCAATAGCTAGGCAGGAGAAGATAGACAGGATTTCCAGGCAGAGATGGGAACCCAGGGAAGGAATCATTAAGGCAGGGATCACCAGAAAGACACAGAGGAAGTGGGAAATAAAATAACTGCACAGAGGTAAGGAGCCATGTGGCAAAACATAGATTAATATAAACTGGCTAATTTAAGTTTTAAGAGCTAGTTGGGAACAAGCCTAAGCTAACTAAGGTCAAGCTTTCATAATTAATAAGAAGACTCCATGTCATTATTTAGTAGCTGGAAGTCTAAAAAAAGTCGGCTACACTGCTCCATTGTTGGGGGGAATGCAAACTTGTACAGCCACTTTGGAAATCAGTATGACAATTTCTCAGACAATTGGAAATCAATCAACCTCAAGACCCAGTTATACCACTCTTGAGCATATACCCAGAGGATGCTCAATCATACCACTAGGACACTTGCTCAACTATGTTCACAGCAGTTTTATTCATAATAGCAAGAGCCTGGAAACAACCTAAATGTCCCTGAGCCAAAGAATTGATAAAGAAAATGTGGTACATTTGCACAATGGAGAATTACTCCGTTGTTAAAAACAATGCCATCATGAAATTTGCTAGCAAATGGATGGAACTGGAAAAGATCATCCTGAATCAGATAACTCAGTCCCAGAAAGACAAACATGGAATGTGCTCATGGATATTATCCATAAAGTAAACGATAACCATATTACAACCCACAGACCCAGAGAAGCTAAGTAACAAGGTGAACTCAATGGGGGAACACATGAATCTCATTGTGAAAGGGAAATAGAATAGAAGTCATCATTGGATGGGGTAGTAAGGGCAGTTCCTGCATGGGGGTGGGGATAAGAACAGGATGGGGGAGGATGGAAGGAGAGAGTACTGGGAAAGACAACTGGAATCTGGGGACATCTCTGAGACCTAGTGCAATGGAAACTCCGAGCCACCTATGGCAGTGACCCTAGCTAGGACTGCTAGCACCTGTAACCAGCCATTTCCTGTAACAAGGTAAGACGTCCAGTGGAGGGATTGGAACACCAACCCAGGCACAAAACCTTTGACCTTCTATTTGTCCTGCCTACAAGATGAGATGGGGTAAAGGTGCTACAGAAATCGTGGAAGTGACCAACCAATGGCCGGCCCAGCTTGAGAGGCCTGTGCCATGAGAGGGAGCTCACTCTTGAGGGCCAGGACCCAGAGGCAGAATAGCCCAGGGACCTAGGATAGAACCAAACACAACTAACAAGGGAAAAAAAGGTCAACAAAATGATTCCTAATGATATTCTATTGTACTCAATAGATTGATGTCAAGCCCAACTGCCATCAGAGTCTTCACCAAAAAACTGATGGAAACAGATGCAGAGACCCACACCCAAACATAAGCAGAGATCAAGGAATCCTGCAAAAGAAGGAGAGGAAGAATTACAGGAGTCCAAGGGGGTTAAGAACACCACAAGAAAAGCCACAGAACCAACTAACCTGGACTCATAGGGACTCACAGAGACTGAACCAACAACCAAGGAGCCCGCATGGGACTGATCTAAGGCCTTTGCATATATGGGACAGTGGTGTAACTTGGTCTTCTTGTGGGAACTCCTAACAGTGGGAGAAGGGACTGTCTCTGACACTGTTACTTATTTGGGGATCCTTTCCTCCTACTGGCTTGCCTTGTCCAGCCTATAGAAAAGGATGTTTCCACTCTCACTGAAACTTGAGCTACTATGACTGGCTGATATCCATGGGAGGCCTACCCTTTTCTGAAGAGAAGTAGACTTGGGGGAAGGTGGAGATGGGAGCAGGAAGAGAGGAGGGAGGGGAAACTTTGGTTGGGCTGTCAAAACAAAAAAATAAATAAATAAATTTACTTATTTTTTTAAAAAAATGGTTATGGGTGTTTTGCCTGCATGCATGTCTATGCACCTTGAGCATGCACTGGCCTCATAGGCCAGACAGTGATTGTTATCTGCTATGTCAGGGATGAGACTTGAACCCAGGTCTTATGGAAGTATTCTTAACCAACCACTGAGCCATCTCTCCAGGTCCATACAAAAATCGTAAATGCTCATTTTCATTATGCAGGTCTTATTTAAGCAGCAATATTTTGAGATTTTTATGGGTGCAGTTTCTGTGTTATATGTAGAAGACACTAACTCACAGAAGATGTCCTGGTCCTCTGGCTCTTAAAATCACTCTGCCTGCACTTCAGCAATTTTCTCTGAGCCTCAGATGTAGGAGTAGCACTGTAGATGCATTAGTTTGGTCTGCATATTCCACAGTCACTTATTCTCTGTATTGTTACCAGCTATAGAGCCCTGTAACATTTACTGCAAAAAGCAATTTATTTGATGAGGGGTGATAGGTACACTCATCTGTGAGTAGAAGGGTAAGTATTTAAAATACAGTTACAAATTATATTGTTTTATGAAAATGGCAATAATATGTTCTCTCTGGGATCCATGACCTCTTTGGCCACAGATAGCTAGTTAGGTCTAGCTTTACAGTAACAGGCAGGAATTCCCTCCCAATGAGTGGACCTGAAGTCCAATTAGACAATGAAACAGTTATTGTCTAATAGACCCGAGAAATGAGTGCAACTACTGTACCACTGGGGCTATCTTGATGGGCCACCCACAAAGTTCTGCCCCTAGATGAAGAGCTACAGCCCAATGGCTGATAAGAGAGGGAGAATTAGTTTTCTCCAAAGATAGTTACCCAATCCCACGTAGTCAACTTAAACATGATCATACGAGCAACACTAAATGGACTCAGTAGGTTGTATCACACACACACACACACACACACACACACACACACACCACCACCACCACCACCACCACACCAATAATAATAAAAGAAGTTATGAATTTGAGAATGAATGGGGGAAATAGGAGTCAGAGGGATGGACATTATTCAAATGAAATTCTAAAATATTCAAATGAAATTCTTTAAAAAAAGAAAGACACCTTAAACTAAAAAAAAAAAAAAAAAAACATGCTCAGCTGGGCAGTAGTGGCACATGCCTTTAATAGGGAGGCAGAAGCAGGCAGATCTCTGTGAGTTCGAGACCAGTCTGGTCTACATGAGCTAGTTCCAGGACAGCCTCCAAAGCCACAGAGAAACCCTGTCTTGAAAAACAAACAAACAAACAAAGCTATGCTTAGGGGCTAGGAGACAAAGCCAGTAATGCTAAACCAAAATTATTGGGGGGTGGGTGCTCATTTTCACCCATTTTAGGTTTTTAAACACTAAACTTTGCTGATCATTAGTATATCTGGGAAAAAAGAGCATGCAGAAGACTGTTTTGGAACTGAGTAAGACTCAAAGCAAGGGTGAAGGTCATGCACAAGCGCTGCTCACCTTGGAGACTTGCCGCAGCCACCGTAAGTACTCTGTGAAAGTATCAAAGCAGATGTAGTAAGTCTGGCTTTGGGGCCCCGAAGAGCTGAACGCTAAGCAGTGCTGGTGCTTTTTCACTTCTTCCACCTGTGAACAGACACAGACAACAAAAGCCAGTGAGCCAGCAGGCGCTGGGATGTAGTCCCCAACGAGATCTGCATCTCTCCCCAGGAATGAGACTCTTTCAACTTACAGCCACGTCCCTTGCAGCTGAACAACAATCTCAGTTACAAAGAAGCCAAGAAAGGAGAGCTTCATTAGAAATCAACACCTAGGTGAAATTCCCTTCTTCCTGTTGAAAAGCGGTACAGACCCTTTCTTTCTTAATCTTTATATACACTTTATATATACAACAAGGCTTTAAAACAAGGCTTCTCCCTCTCAGAATTAAAATAATAAAATCCCATTCATAGTAAATTATTCACAAAGAGAAAAAATTTATACAAAACATATTATACAAGCTCTTATCATTTTCTTGACAAAAAGGACCAACTCACAAAGAATGTACAAAGGGATTTTTAAACTGTCATTATAATGATACTGTTCATATGACACTGTTCGAAATGTAACCATATCAGAAATCACTACTGAAAATTAATTTGAGGTCTGTGTAAGTTTACAAGATAAATAGCACACTTGTAAAGCAGGCTCTTCCAGTGCCTAAAATTAGCCTAAAAATTTAAAACTAAACAAATACATATTAAAATCTGTAGGATGAAATCAAGCAAACACAAAGGGCAATTAAAAACTTTAGATATTTAGAAATGTAGAAAATTAATTTGCTAAGCATGGAGCTTATTAGCCAGGAAACTTAAAAACGAAAACTAAATGAGAATAATAACAAAAATAGAAACTGGAGCTGCAGGGATGGATGGGTCAGTGGTGAGGGAGCTGTGCTCCTTCAGAAGACCTGAGCCCTGTTCCCAGCATCCACATCAGAAAACCAAACAGCTTGTAACCCAGCTCTAGGGGATCTGACTTCCTCTTCTGACCTCCATAGGCACCTGTACTCATGTCTACATACACTCCCCCCCAACACACACACAATTAAAAAGAAAATTAATCTTAAACTTAAAAGAATGATGTGAGGGCTCTCAACAGGTAAAAAGGCACTTGCTACCCAGCCCAACAACCTGAATTTGATGTGAGTCCTCCATCATAGAAGGAGAAAACTAGTGCTCCAAGCTGTCCTCTGACCTCCACTGTGGCACCCACATGCAGTCACGTGTGTATACACACACTATAAGTTAATAAACTCACGGTGAAAATATAAAAAGGCAATCAGACATGTACTTTAGAGTGAGTGTGAAACTGCACCTTGTCGAGAAAACGAGGTATCATCCTATCATTTGGATATGCTTCCCTCCTGGAAGCCAGCAATGTTCTCCAGTGCACGATCTCAAGGTCAGCATCTCTACGAGGTCATCTGGACGGAGATCTTCACTGCTCAGGACCTGTCTGCCCTATTGTGTGGTGTTTTCCTCTGGAAATCCTTGCTATCTTTTTAAATGTCTTTGCAGCAAGAATACTGGTATTCACCAAACACTTCACCCACTTCTCAGCTCTTCCCAGACCCCTTACAGAAGTAATGTCAACTTAAGTAATTTCTGGCTAAAAGCTGCTGACATGAGTGGCATGTGTCACTATTTCAGATCTAAATATGCAAGAATGGAGCTGGAAAGACAGCATTTAACAAGCCACCAGGCATTCCTTACACATACCTACAACCACAGCTCCAATGTGGGCAGGAACAGGAAGACTGCTGGAGCTGTTGGCTTCCAATCTAACCAAGAGGTTCAGGAAGAGGAGCGGGCAGAGAAGGACTTAAAGGACACTCGATGTCCCCTTCTCACCTGCTTTTATACATGTATACACAGTCACAGACACACAAATAAAAGTAACTCTTTAAATAGACAAGAACCAGTAAATGACACTACAGTTACTTCTTCCTGTCACCAATATTAAACAAAAGAGTGTGCAGAAGCAGAATGAGAAATCAACTCCAAACTCCACCAACTCATAGTGGGCGTATGATACGAGAAATTACTATGGCAAGGCACCAAGATGTGGCAGTTATGTTACCATAGTATAACTTCAAAGCCAGCGTTTCCACCTTTTTGTTGCTGTTTTCTTTCTGGGTGCTCTTGTGCTCCCCCTATGTTCCTGTCACTTTGTCACAGGATATACTGTCAATTGATGGCCCAGTGTCCTGTTAGTGCTCTAGGGGTGGAGGCAGGGAGACACAGCCCTCATGACCTTCACTGGACCGAGAGCTTCCAGTAGATTTTCTAAGACCTTGACTCAGGGCCAAACTAGGATTCACAGCTTCAATGATGAAAAAAAAAAATTGAAAGTAGCCAGTTTATGAAGCAGAGTTGAAGTTTAATAAAAATGTTTTAACACAGGCTTAAACATGGAGGCAAAAAAAAAAAGGGTATTAAGAAGAAAGCAAGATACACTCATAGAGTCCAAGTGTGGGCTTCTAAACAAAGAATTACAGAAAGTGAGACATACCCGATGTCAGTACAGTCTCAAGGGGAAGCTGCCTGTTCACTCTTTTGAACATCAAAAACATTTCTACATAATACCAAATGTCCCTGGGCATAGAAATTTTGTTATAACTAGAGTTTTTCCCTTAAAAAATGTATTTACCAGGAAGAATATCACTCTAAGATTATGTCAACAATGTTGTTTGTAACAACATAAAAACCTGGAAGCAACTCAAATGTTAAGTAGAAAAATTAAAAATTAGAGTAATTTGATTTATAGATTAGAACATTAGAAATGAAAACTATATACACATTAATGTATATAGAATACCATACAATGAAAAGCCTCCATCCTAAAGAACGTCCGCCCCTCCTTAGTCAGGCTGCTCCAGCAGTGTCTACTGGGTGTTGTGCTGACTTGATGTTTTGCCATCTGCTTCTGCCATCTAACTACCTGATATTTATTTTTTTATTTTTGTTCACTAAATACTTAATAAACCCATTCATTCAAAACTAAAGTTATAGCTATCTTAGATAACTCCCTGGGTTATACAGAACAAAAGATAAACAGTTCACTCATTATTCATCTTTACTTGAATAGATATATTAAAACCTTACTTAAGTGTAGTGTCTAAAAATCTGTTTAACTCTACAGAGCAAATTTAGCATGAGTACACAATGAATAAAAATGTCTCTTTATTAAAAATACTTTTTCAACAACAACATTTAAGAGAGCTTTAACCTTTTAAAGAATTACAGTTTGTATGTAGTCTGCCTGCACAATGGCCAAGGTGCATATGGAGGCCAGGGGACAGCTTGCCAGAGTCAGATCTGTCCTTCTACCATGTAGATCCCAGGGACTGAACTTGGGTCACCAGACTTGGCAACAAGTGCCACTACCCATGGAGACAACTCACAGATCCAAGAGAGCTTCCTTTAACAAGGAAGCCACTTGTCATTTGAAAATTGTAAACTGATCCCTGGTGATGTGGAAAACAAGACAATAGCAGCTACCAATAGGTTATGACCAATCTACCCAAGACTTCACTTCTAGCTCTTCCATATATAAATAAAAAAGAAAGAAAAAAGGCTCTTGCATTTAATCACAGTGCTTCTTTTATCAACTAAAACAGTACAAAAAGAAATAGACAAACACTAATGAAAGCTCAAGTTACAAAAAGTGAATTATTTTCTCCTAACTGGGTCAACAGGTTTTAAAAGACTTGGTTTTCAACAAGCTCCATTATTTTAAAGACAGTGAGAAGCAGGTTTGACAAGATCTTCTTGTAAAAAGCGGAAACTATTAACTTTCAATCCACTCAATAGTAGAAGTCTGTCCAATAGCAGGCCTGGGAAACAGGACAGGCCTCTGAATAGCAATGCTAATTATAGCTGGGTTTTCTGATCTTACCTAAACATTCCACGTGCTTTTCTATCTCTCTGAGTATAATAATCTTGTTCCCACCTTATATGTCAAAAGATTTTTCACCCTTCAAGTTCTATTATTGTAACCTCTTTCATTACAAAATTCTCTTCCATATCTCCTGGTATGGAATCATAGGCTGTTCAAAGGCACAGAGGGTGACTCCCCATTTCTTAGTATCAACACAGTGCCTTCCCTCACAAAAGATAAGCAATAAGTCATTATATCACATTTGCCTATGCAAACACCCTACATCACAAAGAGACAGACTTTAGGTCTAAAGCAAATATTAAATACGCTTGCATCTTAAGATAATAATCTATGATGACAACATTAATAGCAAAATTAATCCATGAAAAGGCAAAATGTGAAATAATAGATTGCACTCAATGAGCCATTAATGTGCTCACTTGGTAGAAAACTTGCCTAGTATGTGTCCAGTCTGGGTTCAATCTTCAATAGCACATGAAACTGAAACTAGGTGTGGTGACACACACCTGTAATCCCACACCTGTAATCCCAGGTGGGAGTAACAGGAGTTCAAGGTCATCTTTGACTACATACATAGTTTCACTCAGCAACTCTTAATGCTAGGACAAAGGAGCAGTGGTTTCAAAATGGAGGAGTGAATAGATCTAAATCTACCTTCCAGTCTGGCTAACACCTACTGTGAGGAGACCTGAGTACCAGCTTCCCTAGGGCTAGTATATGCCAGTAGAGGGGAGAGCAACTAGCACAGGACATTCACAAGCACAGACTAAACTGCAGAGCTGCTGAACATCAAAGCCACTTGTCACTATGCAGACCTAGCCTTCACTTCAACTCTGACTCCTAGAGCATGTCAGACACTTGTTAATATCTTTAAGTTTGTATTTTCACAAAAACTGGATTAATTCTCCTATAATTGCATTCTCTACCTAGATCTACTTCCTTTCCCATCCAGGAGGAAAAATAAATAAATGAAATACTTGTTTTATATGTCCCCAATTCCAATAAATCATTTCTCATCTAAATCAGAACCTTTAACATACTACATCATTTTAAAACTAGCAAGCACTGACATGTGATTATAGTGACACTATCTCTCCAACAGAGAATTTAATACTTATTTGTAAATAAACCAGAAAAGAATTTACTATTTCTCCGAGAAAACTGGTTCTATATTATAAGTGTTGAGCAAAAAGGAGTTAACATGCCAAAAAAGCAACTGGTACAGTGGGAAACATCTGTCAAGTTTGTAGGCAACATTTCCAGCTCAGAATGTATTGGCCAGCCACAGTAATAAACTAAAGATGCTAATCCCACTAAGTCCCTGAACACAAATAAGCAGAAGGAAATGGAACTCTGGTCAGACTTCAGCAGCAGGAGACCCTAAACCTCCATGAACACCGTTGCTGGCCTGTTCTATGAGCTATGTGCTCAACAACACAAAGGATGCCTACTTAAAATGAACTCATCATCTGCACTCTAAAATAAAACAACATTCTGTTGATCTACTTTCCCTGGTGACCCAATGGCATTGTTATTTCCCCAGGTCCCGTGACCAACACTAGCCACCAGTGGGACACATCAAGAAGTAGGTGTTCAAACAAGTCAAATCCATCTGTCTCTTATTACAGAAAGGACTGGAAGATCCTTACTAATGCTAAAATACTTTAGCATTCTTGCTTTAAACTTACTTTCCCACCAATTAGTGGCAGAACATGCATCTTTCCGCTCAAGCTGTCTTTCACAGATGATACTATCAAGCAGGTCCCACACAGGATAACCTGGCGTCTTGTCCATCGGTTCACTGGCAACTGCATTTTGCCTTTTCGGACATTGTACATTCCTGAGAGCTGAATTCGCTCGGAGCTCCCAGTGCTATGAGGTTTTCCTAAAACAAACAGAAGCAAACATGTTACATGTTAGTCTTTAAAAACAAGCTTTCTACCACCCCCCTCAGACATATACTAGATCAATTAATTAGGAAACAACAAATATGGGGGGAAAAAACTAAGTTATAACTAAGAGAACATGTAGCCAACAGTCATTGTGGAATTATGATAATAAAAAACAACCACAATTATTCTGCATGTGTATTTTAGTAGCAAGTAAAGCACAACTTTTTTCTTAAAACCCAAGGAAAAGACTGTTTTAGGTCCTTTCCTTATTATTACCATTTCCTTATAATTAATTTTATATTTAACAAGAGATGGATTCAAATTTTTTATGCATGGCTAGTATTAGTAAACTAAGATTACAGGCCAAGATAAAAAATAACATTCGCATCCCACATTTAATGAAAATAATCAGTCTTACTGGGATTAAGTGCCTGTTTTCTCCCCACACTTATTCAATGTATGTTTACTAAAAAGGAGAAATAAATGATTGTTCTGATAGGAACATACCGCAAGATGAAGGCCAAGTACAGCAATGTTTGTGATTTGTGGAGAGAGGGGCAGGGGCATAGAGTAGCACTGTGACTTAAGACAATGAGAAAAACTGTTCTGAAGGCAGAAATGAATATAGTAACACTGCATTCAGGCAAGTTCTACCAACACAGAAATTCTGCTGCGATTCAACATGACACTGACGGGACCACAGAAATATCAACCAAAGTCAGATACTGAGTAGATCAGAAAGAAACAGACAGATGTCCTGCAGTAGGACCCACAAGAGAAATGACACATTTGGAAGTCTAGCCACAAAGGACTAGGAGGAAAGCAGCTTAAGAGGTATTATATTATTAAAAATTAACATAACAAATAGTTAGCAGGCCAGCAAAGTGGCTCAAGGGGTAAAGGTGCTTGCCACCCGGTGATGCAAGCCTAATGACCTGCGTTTGATCCCTAGGACCATGGTGGAAGGAAAGACTTAACTTCCCAAAAAAGCTGTTCTCTGGCCTTCGTGCATGCATACGCCATGGCAACATGCACACAATAAGTAATGTGACTTTAAAATTTAAAGAAACATCAAGACAAGAATCCAAGAGTTGACAGATGCCTCTAACCCATCAAACATGGAGCAAGAAAAGCCAACAGCACTGAAAACAGACTTCTAGAGGATTCAGAGTGTTGAACACAGCCAATAAAAACAGCTGGGCAGAGATGCTTTTTACTAATAAAACTAGCATGTCCTCATTTACTTCTCTTCCAGAATAACAAAATGCTTTACAAAGTGACTACTTCATACTTGAATTTTATTCTGGCTGGACAAGCTACTTGAGTCAGGTGCCCAGCCAAAAACTACCCTGCTCAAGCTTCCCACAGGAAGGGTCTCCTGCTGTCCACCAGTACTAACCAACCTTCCCACAAGCAAGTAGGAAGCCAGGAGACTGTTCATAACACAAAGAAGCAGTCAAGGGCTATCAGTGGCAGACCACTGTCACCATCCCCTTCTGCACATGCTCATTTCTGCCAAGAAAGGTAAATGCCTAATGTCTCAGTCTGCTTTCTCTTTCTGTAATAAACACCATAACCAAAAGTAACTTGAGGAGAGCTTATTTCAGCTTACAGGTCACATCCATCGCTGAGGGAAGCCATGGTAGGGGCTCAAGGAAGGAACCTGGAGGGAGGAAGGGTCTGATGCAGAGGCCATAGAGGAGTGCTGCTTCCTGGCCTGATACATAGAGCATTCTTTCTTATGCAGCTCAGGACCACCAGCACACAGTGAGCAGGCCCCCCCTAAATCAGTCAGTAGACCAGAAAATGCCTCACAGACACGCTCCGAACCAAGCTGACGGAGACAATTCCTCAATTTTGGTTCCCTCTCTCAAGTATGTCAAGCAGACAACTATTATCAGCTACCATGTGAGTCCAGGTTAAGACCTTCTGCATGTGACAAATTCTCTTCAATAGAGGAGATAGTAGAGAACAGATAAGATTCCAAGAAAAAATGAAAGTGACCTAAATTAATACATTGCAACTGAATTCCAAACCCAGATTTCTTGACTGTAAAATGCAGTAACATTCTCCAACACAGGATCCAACCTAAACACACCCAACACCTCCATCTCATGTGTGATCTAAACATACACCTCTGCACACATGTGTGAATACAAAGAAGCAGATATTTTATTTAACCACATCAGAGAAGCTTCAAGGACACTTACAACCTATCACATTTATTCAGATTTGCAAATAACTGTAATAGAAATTAACGGGGGAACAACAAAAACCAGGGAACTTAAAAGAGAGTCTTTTAGTTCTCCAAATCCAAGTATCTCCTAAAGAAAGTGCCACAGAAAATCACCAGACTGACTGACTCAGGTCAAAAAACCTTTATGAGAATGGACACAGCAACAGAGACTGGCTTTTAGTTGCCGGTCAGAAAAATTTCAAAGAGTTCCACACAGTCATGGAACACAGGGGCAAGACAGGTTTGTTCTTGGCAAACCCTGAAAATAACACTCTGGATCAAATCCCACTCCCATCCCCACGCTGCTCTGAGTGCACTTGGTCCTCTAGCCGCTTCTCTTTCTGGGTGTTCAGGTCAGACACACCCTCAGAATGGCTGTGCACCAGCTGCACTCTGGGAACAGGGCGGTGAAAGAGGTCATACACTGCTGGGCAGTGACCCAGGCACACCCTCCATTGTGTCATTTAACTATTACTAGTCTTCCAATTGCTCTAATAAATACTGATAACGTAAAAGAAGTTGATGCCTGCCATTTTAAAGCTGAGCCAGTGGGTATAGATTGGCCCAAGACATTCTCACAACTCAGGACGCTATGCAAACATTTCAAGCTGAAACAGAGAGGACAACAGAAAATTTAAACAGAGGCATATACTTTCTCTTCTACCTATTCACTTGGCACATGGCAGAACTGGTGTTTTAGAGCTAGCAAGATGGTTCAGCTGATAAAGGTATTTGCCACTAAGCCTGAAATCCTGAATCCTATCCGAGACCCACACAGTACAAGGACAGGAAACTCCCACAAGCTGTCCTCTGACCCCTGCTGCACATATGTACATATATATGGATGATAAATGTAGAGTTTTTAATGGCGTTCTATAGTAACCCTCAAGACACGAGCCAATGAAGCGAGTTAAGGCACCTTGTAGAAAATCACAGCATGATATTAGAGAATCTACTTCTTAATGACTCCCTGAACACTCTTCTTCCCCATCAAATAGACAGTTTTTACTTGCTTTGATTTCTCATAGTATAATTGCTGGCTTGGAAGTGGTATAAAATGTCTACCATAAGCCAGACGTACACAAATCCTAGGAGTATTAAGAAAACCTTCCCTGTGCCACACAGCTTAAGGTAACATTTCTCAGAATGTGGTCAGGGGCAGGCATCAGAATCATTTGGCTTTTGTCGACTATAGCAGACCTACAGTTTTGGAATCCAGGTAGTCAAACACCGAACGCTGCTTTCAGGGTCACCACCAAAAGTTTTGTTTTATGGCAATAAAGCTAAAAGATGTAATACACCTGCAACACGTTTTCCAAAGTAAGATTTTCCTCCAACAAATGTATTCCATATACTCTCTCCAAATCAGCTACTTAATGTTTTTATACCACATAAAGCCACTTGAAAAATAACATGAAAGAAAGCTATGGACTCTAGAAGTGGTTTTAAAAAAAAGTATAGAGGGCTGGATAGACAGCACAGGGGTTTAAGAGCATTTGCTGCTCTTTCAGGGGACCTGAGTTCAGTTCCCAGTAAATGGGTCACAGCTGCCTGTAATTCCTGTTCCAGGGGATCTGACACTATCTCCAGGCCTCATTGGGCACTTGCATGGGTGTATGACACACACACACACACACACACACACACACACACACACATTAAATATTTTAAAAGTACACATGCATAAACATAAAATCTGAATGTGCAATTTGGATTCATATAACTAACCTCAAGAAAATTAAAGACATTAAGAGCAAGAGTCTATCAAATTTCCTCAAATTACATTCAGAACAGTTTTAAGGTTTGCTATGAACAGTAAATTACTTTGAGAGAATTTGGAGTCTTTTTATCTATCACTCCAGTGCTCTTCACTGTTCTCTATAGATGCAGTCCATATGAAATTATTTTCATTCTGAGCCTTTTCTTGTGGTGCAGATCTGCTAATAATAAAGTGTCTACTTTTGTGTCTACGAAAGCCTTCTTTTCTTTGTTTTTAAGATACTTCCCTTAATGTAGACTTGTAGGTTAACAGTCCTTTCTTGCGAATTCTGAAGATGCCCTTCCAGCACCATCTGTTTCTGAAAGTACGCTGCTGCATTCCTCAGTGCAGAGCATGTCACCTATTGCCTTGCTGCCTCTTAGATTTCTCTTTATTAGGAGTTTGAAGCAATTTCTTTTTCCTCTTTAAAATGCATGATGAGGCATACACGTGGAGGCCAGGAGACAATCCTGGGTGTGAGAAAATCCGTCCACTACCTCAGAGAAGGATCTCTCCGGCCTCCCGCTTCCCAGGCTGGGATTACAGGTACATGACACCACAGCAAGCATTTTCATGAGTGTGCCAGAAGTCAGCTCAAGGCCTTGTGCTCTCAAGGCAAGCACTTTACCAGCTGAACATTTCCCCAGCTCATTCTCTACAGCCTGATATCTGATACATTCTTTCACATTTCTTATACTCAAGACTTATACCATTTGAAACTTATGGTCAAAATTGAGAATTCTGCTAGCTATTACTGCTTCAAATACTTTCTCTGATCTCACAAGTCCTCTTTAGGGGAACCAACTGCACAGACACAAATTAAGTCACTTGAAATTATAGCTCCCTGATGTTCAGTTCTTTCTGTTTGCTCTCCATACTGGTTGTGCCAACCACTGTATACTCAGGTTTACTGATCTTTTGTTCTTCAATGTTTAAATCTGTTAAAAATCCATTCTAGTATATCTGCCATCTCTAGAATCCTTATTTGGGTACATGCA